CGTCTCTTGGGGAGACACCCCCAGGGAAGCTGCAGGGATGGGCTTCTCATTGCAGGTGCGGGAGCTGGAAGGGGAGGTTGATGCTGAGCAGAAGCGCAGCGCTGAAGCCGTGAAGGGTGTGCGCAAGTACGAGAGGAGGGTGAAGGAACTCACCTACCAGGTAAGGCTGGAGGCCTCCTTGTGTTGATGCACCCTCATTCCAGGAAACAAAAGCTTTTCACCTGGACTTCACGGGTAAATGTTATTCTCTGGTGTGCAGAAAGCAAAAATTCACTCTTTCCTGTTTATCAATCACTCTAGTCTGAGGAAGACAGGAAGAATATTCTCAGGCTGCAGGATCTGGTGGACAAGCTGCAAATGAAGGTGAAATCCTACAAGAGACAGGCTGAGGAAGCTGTAAGTATTGCTTGGAGAAATAGTAAGTGTTGCTTTCTGTGGGTGTCACACAGGTGTTGAGAAGATGAATATCAGAATTTGGAAAAGGCCAGGGACCACCAGTTGTACCATTTAGGGTCTTTGTCATTCAGATACACCCCACTAACATATGAGCACCAAACAAGTGGCAGAATAAGTACACGAGTGACAAATCCAAGTGACAAAGCTGTTCCTCACGTATGACACAGTCCTGCTGATGCTTTTCCCAGAGAGGTCCTGGGAAGGGGAGGATGAGGAGGTTGGGGTGAGCTGACATGTGAGCAGTGGTGGGAGGGGGATGGAGGTTTGTGTCTCCCCCCAGGGAAGAGCTGCAGCCCGACAAGGCCAAGGTGCAGGAGAAGTGAAATTCCTGCCCGGGGCTCCTCACCACCAACTCCCTCTCCCACACAGGAGGAGCTCTCCAATGTCAACCTCTCCAAGTTCCGCAAGATTCAGCACGAGCTGGAGGAAGCCGAGGAACGAGCTGACATTGCAGAGTCACAGGTCAACAAGCTCCGAGTGAAGAGTCGGGAGTTTCACAGCAAGAAAATAGGAGAGGAAGAGTGAGGATGCCACGAGGCAGCAAAGTGACCTGAGGGCCGCAAAAATATGAACCCTTTGTCACTTCCTTCTGCCATGAGTCTTTATAACCATGTCATATGTAGAGATTAAAGGCCATAGATTCTTTTGCATGCACATCCAAGCACTGCTTTCTGTAGTTACAATTTAATTCTAAAGTTATTTAAGTATTGATTGTTTTCAAACAATTAATTTTCAGGAATAAGCCCCTGAATTTTCTGGAGTAAGATTCAGAAGGTCCAGTACTGCTACTACGGTAACAGTTATCGACATGAGAGCAAACAAAATTTTTTGCACTGCATTAGTGTTTCCTAGCAATGGAATTGTGATTTGAAGCTAGAATAAATAAATATTAAATAAATAAAGTTCTATAAGAAGAGTAATTGTAAACCTATGCTTTACAAGTTTACAAGGATATATATCAAGAGGAACTTGTTTTTACTTTTCTAAAACTGGAATTGAGAACAACTCTTGTAACATGAAACCATAAAGAAATCTCCAAATCTGACACCCTGAGAATACAGAGAATTACTAAACCTGATGTCTCTGCACTGCCAACCAGTGCTTCCTACCTGCCTTTTGCATCAACAGAGGAAATTTGCTGCATAAGTGAACTGACGCTGGGTGGAAAGAAGTAGCTGACAGTCACTGGCTTTTTATTCATCCCATATAGAGTAACATTGCAGAATGTAATGTATGAACAAGACAAAAATGAGGAAAAGCTGACCAAGAGGAAGAGCCTCAAGGCAGCAACGATGTCTCCCAGCCCCAACTGTTCTCGTCAGTGCCCTGAGGTGCTGTGCAGCTTGAGGAAGTCTGGGGAACACCAGTGCCTCCACACAGAAGCAAAGAGATTGCAGCCACTGGGACATCACAATGGCACTCACATTAGAGCTTCATTTATCTAGAATAGGTGTATGTGCACAACATATACAGAGAAGCCATTCATAGACCTGGCACATCCCAGAGCTGCTGAGGGCAGATTCTACAAGCAGATACAAGAAATGGTAAATGAGACTTGGCTCTTACTACAGGAACACATACAGGTCCCTCAAGGTTCCTGGCCAGCTCTGCACCACTGCATTTCCAGGGAGTACTTTAAGGAGCTGTAAACTAACTCGACAAGGGAGCTGGAAATGTCAGATGACCTTTTGCACTGACACAGTTGTTTTGCAGCAACAGCATTCAGGACTGGGAGGTCCTCCTTCTCCTAAACACGCTGAGGTTTACACACAGGGAATCCTCCCATGTTATAACTAAATATGGAAGCAGTTTGCTGGGCAGCAACTAAATATATTTAGGAAAAGGTGATGCCCTGTGTTGACTCCTGTGTCACTGTAAGTGATGCTCCTCAGAGACAGCATCTCTATGTGTGAAGCTGTGAAAACTGTATCCGTGACAGTGAGATCTGGGCACCAAAGAAGGAAAACCTTGGATACCTTTTTAAACCTGCTGACTGATTAGCAAGTATCACAACAACTTGGGGAACCATAAGTTGATGCCGAAAATCCCTGCTCCCTTTGGACAATGTTATAATGACCCTCCAAAATGAACAGCCTGGTCTGACTGTGGAAAAATCATGATGCACTTGGAGCACTTGAAACTGTTGGGGCTCATCTCTCACCTGATGGCCCGAGGATTTATTCCTAAATGCTCACCTGATGAAAGGTAACATTGCAGGTTCCTTAAATGACAACACCTTGGGCCAATTATCTGCTTCAAATGGCATGTGTGGGAAAGGCTGAGAAGTCCCACACGTTGCACTGGGCTGACCTGGCCTTGCCACCAGCCATCCTGGAAAGCTTGGCTAAGGACTTTTTGGAATCAGAGTGGAATATTAGAGGGAGGGTTAAGGAAAACCAGTTTCTCCTCACTTTGTGATTTGCTGCCTTAGCTGGAGAACAGGAGTCATTTTGCATCAACACACTATTTCTGGAGTCAGACTGCTTGTGCCCTGAAATGTGCTGATGCAAAGGTAACTGATCTTGGGAAAAACATGGGCCCATTGCAGGCATAAAGGAACATCTCTAAGAGAAGGTTTAAAACAGATGCAGCTGATGAGCTCCACTAAAGCTGCTGCCTCATGTGGAGTATGGAGTTTTCTGACCTTAAACAGCTTGGCCATGAAAGATAGGAGGCATCAATCTTAGAAGAGGCACTAAAATGTGCCTCTGACCTTAAGAAAGAAGTTCCTTACAATAATCACAGAATATTCTGAGTTGGAAGGGACCTGCAAGGATCATTGAGTCCAACTCTTAAATGAATGGCCCGGACAGGGATCAAACCCACAACTGGGCATTAACCATTACCATGCTCTCACCAACTGAGCTGATAATGCCAGATCCAGCTTTCCAGTTCTCCAGGTACTCACTGTCCGTGCCCTCAGGCCACAAGAACAGTGCCTTGACCAGAAAGGGCTTTCCTCCCCAATGACAGAAAAGGAGGGGACCAGAGAGCAAAAGAGGGAAAGGAACAGAGACACAAAGGAGGGAGAGGGAGGAGAGAAGAGGATGAGGGGGGTCAGGAGCAACTGAGAGAAAGAAATTGAGAAAGAGAATGAAATGCAGAAAAAGACAGAGAAAAGAGGGGAAGGGAGGAAGAGATTGAGAAAGATTAAAAAGAAAGCAAGACTGGGAAAGAAAAATTGAGGTGGGGAACAAGGAACTGGATGAAGGAGAGGGGAGAAAGAGTGGAGATGGAAGGAAGGAAAAAAGAAAAAGAGAAAGGAAGAGAGCAATCAATTTAACATCGTTTGGCTGTTGGTACCTGACCCTGGACTTCAACTCTGCTGCTTTTGATCATCTGAGAAAGTGTTTGCAAGTTACAACATCAGCCCTCTTCAAGTATCTGGGTCACAGCGTGAGTAGCTGCTGTTCCCAGGGGCTGAACAGTGGCTGCATTGGCCAGAGGTGTGATAAGAAGAACAAAGGGATGCAGGGAGAGACTGTAGCAGCTGTACCTACAGTCTGCAGAAGGGGAATCCTCCCTGCTCTTGTGAACCCATTGTCCACTCACCCATTTCATGCCCATTGCCCTACAATGGCTGTCTTGATGGGTCACAGAATGCCCCAAGAAACAGATCTGTTCTCTGAATCTCTGCTTTGTCCTGGCACCGAAGGAGGGGCAGGCAGGTTGTGTCTGGTGCATCCTCACACCCCAAGTCCTTGTGAGCAGTGGCGTTGAAAGAAACAGCTTAAAACACTGAACTAGGGGCACCTTGGGATAGCAGAAGTGCTGGTGGGGACTGGAAGGGCAGGTAGAGTGTAGAGACAGAATGTGGAACAGGTAGAGTGTGGTATAGGTAGTCTTTGGAGAGCAGAGAATGGGTTCACACTTTGGGCCTTCCATTGACATTCGACTACTTTGTAAGCTGGTAATGGTTTTAGGTAGTGATATGGTTTGAAGCTGGCTCCCTGCCAAGTCTCCAAACCTTACCACCAGAAGTCCCGTTCCCCCCCCCCCCAACCTCAGGGAGAAGAGGGAGAAAAAAACTAAGAAAAAACCCGAAATGAGAGAGAAACAAGTGAGATATATAAATATATTTACACTTATATACAATTTCACAAGGGAAAGGGAAGGGGGAAGGGAAAAGGAACAAAACTAAAATAAAATATATAGATATCCCAAGATCCAATATCCCACAACTAAGAAGTTAGCAAAGAAAAACAGCTCACTACTCCCCTGGGACAACTGAGAGCCGCTCCGGAACGATCGCCAGCAACCTCTGTCTCCCAAGGTCGACAAGGCCTAACCAGGCCTCGCTCCCCAGCACGGCAGACTCAACAGCAGGGAACCTGCACCTCCAAGCCGCCGGAAGGAAAGAGAGCGAAGGCCTCTCCTCCTCTCTTCTTATAATCTGGCTTACGTAAAAATCGTAGGGAATACTGGGTAAATCTGGACCCTTCCTTGGTTACAAACTGGTCACCAAGGAAGGCCTAGCCCAAACCACCACAGTAGAGTCTAAATGTGATGGTCTTCATGGCAGACACATAAGTCAGTGCAGAGAGTATTAGAATTTAAGCCAGGTAGGAAGTTTTCCCATCCTTAAGTGCTCTTGGAAATGTTCAGAATTTCCTCCTCTCTTGGTATTCCAAAACACCTTTTAGTCTTTGTCCCATCCTGAAAGACACCTGCTTTTGGTAGCCAAAAATCTGGCCTTAATGAAGGATGGACTATGTCCCTGCCTCTACATTGCAATACAGAACCACTGAAATCAATCAAGAAGACACAGGATTAACACAGAGAAAAACCTCATTTTCCTAGGAGCGATTTTAGACTGTGGATGCATAAGTGAAGGGGAAGTGGGCATGAAAAGCATAATACAAGATAATGCAAAGTAGTTCTGCTTGTAACTGCCTGCACCTTACTCTTCAGTCAGGAGGTATTTCTATATGTTAATACAGAACACAAAAGCAAACAGGTTTTGGATCATAAGTAATTTGTGACAATTCCTAAGAGGAGTTCAGCCACATCTCAAACAAGGATGATATGCATGTTCCTTCCATTTATGGCATTCGAAAGCAATGTATCAAAACCAGATCAGTTGGCTGCCTTTCCGCCACTTGTTATCTTTCAGTGATTTCAAAGGTTCAGCACTATTCTCAGACATTTGCTGTTGGGATTAGTTGCTTTCTCAAAAACCTTGATTTCCTTTCCATCCAAATCATTCTCCATCTTCAACTCCTTCTACCATTTGTTGTCTCTCTTTTTGACTATCCTACCCAGACACCACGCAGCCTTCTCAACCCACTCACCTGTTCTGTAACAGGAGCTCTTCAGCTGCTTTGGTGAGTGACAGAAAGGACATCCAGGTCATGTCCTCATCCATGCTGTGTCCTCATCCAGGACCCCCTCTCCAGTTCTCTTCCATGGGTGCTTCCTGGAAAGATAGGAGGAGCCTAAGTAACTGTGCAACTTTGATATTCACTAAGCCCCTGCCCAGGTATTATTTTTCACCTTCTTCTTCATTTCACAGTTAAGTGATGCTGAGATATCCTTGGAGTCCCAGTTGCTCTCTTCCTTCTCTCTTTTCTGAAAGACAGAAGTGTGAAACATCAAACATAATCATGTGACAGACTATGCTATACCATTAAGCTATACCATAAATGCATTGAAAAAAATAGCCTTGAAGCAGCCTCAAGAGTACAATTAGGAGAAAGAAAGAAAGAACTCCAGAGTCCCTCCACGCTTTGATGCATGGCACCAGGCAGTCTTCCCAAATAAGTTCTAGCCCCAGGAATGCTAGCTTACCTTTGCCATGGCCAAAATTGCCCAGTACATATTCTGTATGTCTCCCCCTGAATATTTTTAAGTATCTCGTGGTTCTGTTCATCAATCTGTTTTCCTCAAAAATCAATTAATACCTCCAGTCTTATGCAGAAAT